CAAGGTGTTTCCAATCATTAATCATTCCTACACAGTTGAAGGGCAAATAATTCACTGCTGGCTTGATTATTTTCAAGGCACTAATGAAACCACATTAGGAATATTTGAAAATGTAAAAAATATGCTAAAATCAAGTAGTTGGAACCCTGACTATGTACAGTTATTTGCAGCTAATACTGTTGTTAACTCTGCGTTATGTCCCCCTGTCCACAAATCAATAGAAAGCAAGAAAGAAAAATCATCTCTAGCTTATTGCTCTGCACATAACCACAAACCAGAAAAATACCATCTAATTAAATCATAATTTGATTTAGAAAAAAAAATCAGTCACGTTTTCTCATCTCATTCAGTCATTTTTCTCAGCAAAAGTTTCAGATTTAGAGAAGAGCTTATAAAATTTGAATGGGAAAAAATGTTCTCCATGAGACAATTACTTGCATACTGTACAGGTAAAAGGACCATAATCTGTTTTCTTGGGTTTAGAAGTTGCTTTGGAAGTTAAGTGAGCATTGTCAAGCACCAATTTTAAAATCCCATTTTCAAAGATAACTTTGTTGGAGGTGATAGAGAGGTTTTCAGTGACAGAATGTTACTTACTATTTTCAGATTGTACTGAATGTTTCTTAATAAGTCTTGCAGGTAGAACAAACTGTCTTTCTACATGATGAAATGTATAAGATAACACAATCATTAAAGAGTAAGTTGCAAAAAAGAACTGTTGACAAATTCTTTGGTCATAACCTAGTCATCAGGGGGGCGGGGAGGGAGGAAAGAAAACAAAGACATTTCACTCAGAGGTACACATTAGCTACCAGAAACGAGGTTTTATATTTTCATATGATCAAAAAAAATGCAAATAAACTGATTTAATTTTACTGAAAAGCATTAGTCTTTCCAGAAACAGTAAAAATTATCGATAATTTAACATTTCCTAAAAGGCCTGATGTTATGTAGTTGGAGATTCAGCTGAGTATTTGTGTATGTCAGGAGTCTTTGATTCGGAAACATTCTCATATTCTAGTTTCACATTTTTGCTCTTTCAATTTCTTAAGATTGTTTCATTTATTTTAAAAAACCATTTTCCTTATGTAATCAACTTTGGACAGATTGTGGAACTCTCAAACAGATTCCATTTTGATGAAGTTTCTAAGTGTGGGGAATTTAGGTTATACATGTAACATGCTTTATGAATTTACTTTTAAAGACAAACATAATGAAATCTATTAAAATTTATAATAAATTATTCTTCTATCAATCCCTTCAAGTTTATAACTGAATTTTGCATCAGAGAAATTTAATACTATTTTAGAAATATGTGATGTACTAAAGGAAATAAGATTTCCCTAGAATTTCCCTTCATGTTAACATGTAGATCTGTTTTTCCCCTTAGGGATGGCCCTTACTTCTTCTCAAGGAGAATGTCTTTTCAGAAGTGTGGCTGCTCTGGAGTGTAGCTTCAGTTAATGTGTCCAGGCACAGTATAAGTAGTAAAAATCTTGAGTCTGTTTTGGCAGCACGGCAAATTAGGTGCCTGTAAAACAAGAAAATTTAGTGGCAGAACACTTTACATGACCTTGGCATCATTTCATGGAGAATATAGTTTCACCTTTCTGCCGCTGAGAAGTTTTATTGAAAATTTTGCTGTTTTTTTATTTCTTCCTGTGTTCATTATAGTAGTCAATGGTTACTGCCAAAAATAAAAAGGAAAAGAAAGAATCAGAAGGATAGTAACAACATTCCTGGTGCAGTGGTAGAACAGAACATGAAGAATATTATTAGAATTGTAAGATGTTGCTTCATCCGAGGCATCATTTCGCTGAAACCTGATGTCCTGCCTGAACTCTCTAAATAAGTGCAGCCATTACATTTCATAAAGATCGAAAATGACAGGTATTAGCCAGCAAATGAAAAGCATTCCTTTCTTATATTATGTTATATTGACCTGTATATGAGACCAACATAGAAACCTTTCTTCTGGCAGTTTCTTGTTGGTTGCTGTGTGTTGGAGATCACTGTACCAGCTTTGTGCAAAGCAGTATAAGGAAGCGGTTGACTTCACTGGGAACTGAGTATCTGTTGTCAGTGAAGATAAAGGTAATTTTCCTGAAGTGTGCACAGGCTTAGCTCCATTAGAAGTGAAGAACTGAGTGCCAGTTTCAAAAGTGACCTCTGTCCCTTCCTAGTAGAGTGAATATATGAATATCATGCTCCATTATCTGCTCGGTTGAAGACTGAAGCAATTACAAAGATTAATGTAAAGGATGTACTGAGCTAACATCCTCTTCTAAAAAGGGTTAATGGAGAGAATATAAAGGATGAAATTGCAATTCAGATATTAAATGGAAATGTGCATTTATTTTTACTGGGAAAATTTCTTTTTGTAGTTTGTATATTCTGACTGAACATTGTGTGCACTTTAAATAAAAAAAAAGGGGTAAAGTGTTGAAAAAGTCAATGCAACTAATTTCAAACAACTTTGACTTTTATTTTAAAAATGTTGTTTTGCTTTTTATGACCTCAGTTTACAAAAGAAAAATACATTTTTTAAAGTACTAAAGAACTCAGAAGATCTGTGAACCATTTAATTTGAGTTGAAAAATTTTTATTAATGGAGTTGGAGTGGCCCATTGCAGAGATATTTTGAATAATGATCGTTGCTGGTGTGTTCTAGTTGCAGTAATAAGTAAAGGAGATGCAAAAAGGGAATTGGACAGTGGTGTTAGCATGGCCCTGCTTCTAGGCTAATGTAATCTGTTTCTCAGCCAGAGTAGTTTACCTAGATGGAAACCACAGTGATACATCTGTACTGCTCCTGGTGCCCCCTTTGCTCAGACCTAGCTGCAGTACATTCTCAGGACACTGTATTATGGAGCTCAAGGTCTTTCTTTCCTTTGGCGGGGTGGAAATTCTAAAATCCTAAATATCATTAAATTCATATGATATACAAGAAGGGAATTATGGCTGCTCCTAAATTTAGTCAAAATAAAGCATTCATATAAAATAACCTCAAATATGAATATGATGCAAAAACTTGTTCTGTAAAAAGGCAGCACTGTCATTAGCCAGCTGTATACAAATGGTCTTTGATTCTATAAATACTGATTCTCACATGTGAGCTAAAAAAAGCAACTCTACTCACTCAGCACTTGGAGAAACCCGTAGACATGTCTGGCATATTCCTCTCTACAGAAGCTGAATCTGCCAAACTCTTGTCACTGGACTTTCAAGGACTAAAATGATACAAATTTGAGTGTAAAGAAACAAGATCAGCACTCCACCATATTAAACCTGGTGAATTAAGGGTGTCCTTTTTGAATAATAAAGGTACTCTGTGTACATTACATTGCATCCTTTAAGTGTGTGGAGATGTGCAAATTTGTGCTCATCAAGGTGAAAGAAAAGTCTCTTCAGATTTTAATCAGTGTCCCTGAGAAAATGAAGCTAATAATACAATGAAAAACAGTAGCGAGATAGGCTATGCAGAAAAATGGTCCTTAATACCTTTGGTGGCTAGGCTTTAATTCCTAAGGTGATCTATTACCTGGTATTTGGATACATGCTGGCACCACTTATGCACCTACTGATCATTTGCCATCTAGAGATGAGAGGCCCAGAGTGTGTTTTGGACTAGGATTACAGTGTCAGTGAATTAGGTTTCCTGATATTAGAACATCAGCTTCGGAAAGATGACCTGCCAAAAACATAGACTACAAGCTCTTGTAACTATCTATAAATAAAATAATATACAATACTGTTTGTGTAATAGCATCTCTTTTTACAACTTCCCTTTTAAAACTTAGGAATAGACAAACAAATATGCAATAAAAGCAAGTTCAGAGTGGTCAAAGGCCACATACCAGACTTTCCGCACAGCCTTAATTCTCCTTTGCTCAGATATACCAAGAGTGCATCCACCAGGGGACCTAAGGAGATGGTTTCCTCTGGATTATTCCCAGCCCCTGTATTAGCCTGTGTTGTAGAGCATACACTTTGTGTCACATCAGCAAATGTCATCCCTGTCATGGATGCAGCCAGCCCTGCGATACTGAGAGGGTCTTTCATGACACAGTCAGATGGCCGTTTCCACAGGGTTCACAGGTAGAGCAGTCTGGAAAGAGGGAGAGGAACATAAGCAAATGCAAATGTGACCTTTGCCAGCCTCCGGTGGCTGGAATTCACAATTCAAATATTGGGTTTTGCACAGTTTCTTCCATGGGGTATTAAATGCATAAATCAGCATGTTTGTATGTTCACCTATATCATTTTGTCTGTTTGTCCATGTGTATTTTAATTTCTGCAGTTATACCTACTATGACAGCTTACTTACAGAAACACAGCAGTAAACATGGAGTGAAAGAAAGAATGACATTCATGTAAATTATGATATTAGCTTATTCAGGACAGTAAGTTAGTGACCGCTCAGATCTTAGCATTTGGGGTACATGAGGTGTCTGTAAAGAAGCACGAACATGATTTTTCAATTCTGCTGTAGTGTGACCTAAAAACAAGTGGCTGAACAATTTGTAACAAACAGAACAATTAATTTATTGAATTTACACCCCAACCCCACCCAAAAAGCCATTTCCATAATCAGGGGAATTTACCATTCTCCACCTTACACGTGTTGCTCCTGTTCATCTTTCACACATCTTTTATCAGTCTGCCCTATGACAAAGAAGTCTCTGCAAATTGTATCTTGTAGCTGTGACTGTTCAAAGACAATGGAAAAGAATGTGCTAGTGCAGATATTGTTATGGCACAGGACCAAGGCAAGTGAGATGTTTGGCCTGCTTTCTAAAGTAGCTAGAGGAAAAAAAAAAAGAAAACAAAAAGAAAACAAAAGGAAAAAAAATATTTCCTCAGGCAGTAAAAAAAGGAAACATTCTCCACTGGCTTGTACATATCCTGCTGCTCTACACCCGGATAGACCTTATCAAAGACCAAATAGTAGTGGGAAGTGTGGAACCGATTTCAATTTGCGTATCATGCTTTCATTGCAGGAATATCAAATTGATATATTTTTTGCCCAGACGTGGACAGATAGCCGTCTTCGCTTCAACAGCACCATGAAGATACTGACTCTGAACAGCAACATGGTTGGCTTGATCTGGATCCCGGACACAATATTTCGTAACTCAAAGACAGCGGAGGCTCACTGGATCACCACCCCCAACCAGCTCCTCCGCATATGGAATGATGGCAAGATCTTGTACACCCTCAGGTGAGCATTCGGCGGTGTGCAGGGCTGAAAACTTCTGCCCCTTCTGGCACAGTAGGAGTAGTTTTCAGCAGTATCTTTGTTCTCCTCTGCTGTTTTCTTCCTGATGCTTACCTGACTGTGCTTGACAAATACTGAAATATTCAATACTGCAGAGTTTAAAAAACAAAGTCTTGTCTTTCTAAAAAAGAAACCTTGAGAATTGGAAATAGGCCTGTCTAAATTGTAGAAGTTGGGCTTTTTAGTGCTCGTAATAAAATGGGGAGCATGTAGTCCCATAAAACCTGTCACAAACCTTTTTGATCAGAGAGAGATGCAGGGCTGGATAAAGTATTTCTAGATTCACGCTAATGCCAATACTTGATTGTTCAAATAAGTCACTCTGAAAGATAGTCTGTCACATCTCATCACAAGGGTGAATTGCTGGAGGAAAGGCTTTTAGAGTTTTTCTAATCTTTGTGATACCATCAACTGTATGGTGTTAGAAATACTGTATATATTTGATAAGAAATGCCTGTGGAAATCAAAATGTGTGTTTACTTACAGAAGAGATGCATTGCTCAGCAGAGAGTTTTGCCATAAGCCATATTCCACATGGCAAACTTTTTCAGAAACATCCCTTTCACACTACATTTTCTTCAGTGATTGTGTTCAGCATATTCTGATCATACTTGCAATTGCAGTTGGGCTCCAACAGCAAGTCTTTGGCAAACAATAAGAAAGAAATTAAACAGCTGGAAATGCTACTGACATTTTTAGTGCCCTTCCCTTCTTAGGCTTGCTCCACTGTGGCAGAGCTCTTGCTTATTTCAATAGCCTTTAGCTAAAGGCTTTGGTGATTAGGATGTCAACTCCAATACCCTCTTGGTTGGGCTGTTGATTTTTTTTGTTTTGTTTTTTCTATTAAGTCCTGTTTCAGTATTTCAGGGCAAGTTAAGTATCTACCTAATAGCAGTTAGACTTTCATACCTATCACTAAAGAAACTATTTGTTGAAGGGACTGCAAATTTGGTCTAAAACAGCTAAAAAGGGGTAATACTTGACCCAGTGGATTGTTTGAATGAGCATTTTTAGTTTGTGAAAGATGTTTTGAGTCCTTTTCGCCCACTCAGGTCAGCCTCCTTTTTACATAGGAGAAGCTGTTAGAAAGATCATTGTTCATTGATAACACTGTGTAATTCAATAACAATTTATCTGACTTAAGTGAGCACACAGAATTGGTATGGCATGGAAGCAGTAACTATTGTACGTCCTGGTACTGTCAGATGTTGATGAGTGTTCTGTATTCAGGAGAAAGTGTACGAGGTTCAGTCATGCTCCATGCCTTTCCATCCTCTTCCCTGCGTGCTTTTGGCTGTGAACGCACTCCTGCTGTAACACTGCAGATCCTCTTCGTGTCAGTGCAAAAACGCTGTTGAGTTCCTCACCGGTGACCTTCTCCAAGACAGAGGTTTTCTCTGTGCCATCCTAAATCTGAGACACAAACCTTTCCCCATCCAGGTTGTTAGCTTTTGAATTAGTTTAAAAAACAAAAGAAAAAAAAGAAGCCAACAAAAAAACCTCATGCCCCACACTTGCTGCATAAATTCAGGCATGCAATTAATGTGTCTGTTTCCTGAAAAAGCCTGTATAATAAACTAGCACTTAATGCTCATCTACCTGGGTAAATAGATTTACTTTATAAGTTATCAGACTAAAGATTATGTGGTTTTAATAGTCATTTTAAAATCAGCTCCATTCATAGTGTCCTTTGTGTTAGGGATATCACGTAAAACACACTTTCAAGTGGGACTGAAGACATTTCTGCTGATCTGTTTGTTACATCTGTACAACTGAGAATGGCATACAGAGATTTATTAAGTTTTTGAGAGACAGCCCAAAATGACTCAAAGAATTTTAAGTTCACACTATAAGTAAATGCGGAGAATATTCCTTATAGGATTCTTTATGAGGTTTTAATTTTGTGGAATTACATACCACCACATCAGCCATATCTCCTGTTATTTTTGTAAAGAATAGTTGTTTCCACCCCATGTCCTTCAATGATGAATTGTCTAGAGAAAAACATATGCGCAGATTTCTTGGGATCAAGAAACTCTTAATGATGTGATGAAATTATTTATGTTTTTAGATTATTATTGTTTTGGATCAGCCTTAAATAGCCAATGAACAATCTGCAAATATAGTCCTTTCCTTTCAGGCCTTACATATGGATGTCAAAGCGCTCTTGCCTGATACCTAAGGTCACCCTGCCTCCTCCTCTGACTGTTCATTGTGCTGATGTGTAGTAACAGGCGCTTGGTTTCTCCATAGGCTTACCATCAATGCTGAGTGCCAGCTGCAGCTGCACAATTTCCCAATGGATGAACACTCATGTCCACTGATATTCTCTAGCTGTAAGTACTGCTTTGATGCCTTATCGTTGTATATGACTAGTATGCAGAGGCACAAGTTTAATTCTGATTTCTGTCAGGTTGTTCAGCCATTCCACAACAGGTATAGGAAGTTTAGGTTTGCTTAAAAATTCAGGGGATTTTTGTCTTCTTCTCTAGCACTCCTGGACAATGGACTTATGCCATGAAGTTTTCTGTAGATTTACTCTGTTATTTTTGCTAGAACCAGCCTTTTTAGTAGATACTATAGTCACTCAGGAACAGCTATTCATACCAATCTGTGCTATGTTAATATATACAATCATGTGATATGCAAATGAGAATAGAAATTGCAGGGTTTTTGTAGAGGTGCACAGCTTGGGGACAAGCCCAGCCATCTCTGAACATCTGAGTTTATAGCAAGTAGCGTGGTGATGTCTGTCTGTTCCATAATAAAAGTAAATTGTGTAACTACTGTAAATCTTATTTTCCTTTTATAGCTCAGCTTGTCCAGTAGTCCCTATGTTGTATTGTATGTAGTGTTGTTGATATATTTAAAACATACCTAATAGGCAAAACAAATACATTGGTGAATGGATGGAAAACAAAAGTCAGGTAAGTTAATCTTGAGGTCCAATATTACAGTAATAATCAGAAACCGGATTTGAATTCCAGCTGATCCAGGGTGTATTCTTTTTCCCCAGGAAAATGTTCTAAAAGATTCTGCCAGTGTAAACATCTCCCTTTCCCCCAAAACATTATCACTATGTTGCTGGTTTTTGACCTATGTACGTAAGTGAGCTTGGGCAAAAATACACAGTGGTGTGTTTAATTCAGATGTGTGGAATATATGCATACTCAACTGAACAGGAGGCAGATACCTCCTGAATGAGCTTTATTGCTAATGAATACTTGTCACTGAACTATATGCACCTCAGCCATCTTTAGTTACTGCATAAAGCTACTCTTACCTTGCAGCAAGCTGCTGTTGATTTGTTGAGGTACTGGGAAAGGAGTGTGTGATCTTAAAAATTAAATCCCAGTCCAAAGATACTAATTAAATCTACCACATAAATTTGATAGGTCCTGAGCTAGCAATATCCAAAGAAGGTGAACAGTAATAGACAGGGAAGTCGCTTCAGACCTTACATTCCCTAATAGCTAGACAGTTGCTGAATGCAAGTAAGTTATGCTCTGGGTTTTTTTATTTAAAGAGAGAGAATATTAGTGTGAACTTCAGAAGGCTCCGCTCCATGGCAAAGTTTCAAATGTATCTTGATTTGCAGAGGTTCCTCCTAATTTAGATCTATTAGCTTGGAGCCCTTCTGCCCTTGAAAACATACATGTATACCATCATAAATAGAATCATAGAATCATAGAATCATAGAATCATTAAGGTTGGAAAAGACCTCTAAGATCATCAAGTCCAACCGTTAACCCAACACCACCATGCCCACTAAACCATGTCCCTAAGCGCCTCATCTACACGTCTTTTAAATACCTCCAGGGATGGTGACTCCACCACTTCCCTGGGCAGCCTGGTCCAAGGCCCGACCACTCTTTCAGTAAAGAAGTTTTTCCTAATGTCCAGTCTAAACCTCCCTGGGCGCAACTTGAGGCCATTTCCTCTCGTCCTATCGCTGGTTACTTGGGAGAAGAGACCAACCCCCACCTCGCTCCAACCTCCTTTCAGGTAGTTGTAGAGCGCGATGAGGTGTCCCCTCAGCCTCCTCTTCTCCAGGCTAAACAGCCCCAGTTCCCTCAGCCGCTCCTCATAAGACTTGTTCTCCAGCCCCTTCACCAGCTTCGTTGCCCTTCTCTGGACACGCTCCCGCACCTCAATGTCCTTCTTGTAGTGAGGGGCCCAAAACTGAACACAGTATTCAAGGTACTACCCACCCTCTATGGAGCTGGAAATTACACAGAATCAAACAGAAGCTTAATGTGTCACAGTTTCTGTGTGCGTTCTTTATAGTTTCTTGCCAGATGGAAAAACCCATGGAGGAATATTAAAATACTGTTTTATAGTTTTGTCAACATTTTTGGTCATGTTGATAACAAGAGTTTATTTCTTTAGGTTTATACTTGATTGTGTTCTTTTCCTTGAACACTTTTAGCACTACTATTGTCATAATAGTAGGACATCTCCTGTGTGATTTGTTTGTTTCATAACTCGGTTGTATTTTTAGTGTTGCGTACGTTCATAGCAGTCTCCAGATACATGGCTCTCAGTGGGACTCACGAAGTGAATGACTGAGTGAATGCCTGAATGATTTATTACTGCCTGCTATGACAAGTTTCTGAGGGGACACGCTGATTATGGATTCCAAGAATTTTGAATAAAATAAAAATGGTTGTAGAATTCACAGCATAGCATCGCTTCCCTCTGCATCCCTTTCGTTTGTTCCCCAGCACACAGACAAATCTTCGCAGTTTCCACTGTAGGCAAGCACAAAAAAGCACAAATTGCGGGCAATATTCCCTGCATCTCTACACACACATGAACAAGGTTAATATTTGAAATGTCTTACTTTTTATATAAATTTCCCTTGATATTTCAAAATGTGAAACTAATCTCAAATCTTTTCTAGAGTATTTTCCTCTAGTGCCAACTAATTCACACCCTAACCCTGTTGTTGCTCTGGGGACAGTTGCTGTTCCTTAGGTGGGAATACTGAGCTCTACTTGGTCCGGTTGCCAGGATGAATACAGGCTTATAAACAAAAAACACATCTCAGTGTGCTAACAGTGGTTACTAAAACCTACCTACCCCTTCCTGTTGAAAATCTTGTTCAAGAACAGTTCCTGGAGCTCTCTAGTCTCTTTGCTTATGGGAATTAGAAAGTGTTGAAATAATTTGAAACCTCTTTACTCTCTGTGCAAGTTTTGCATGTGCTTCAGGTGACATGATGAGATGAATCATCTGGCATAGTAGGGCACATGGTACGTGTGTGTCTGTTGTTGCAGTCCTTACGTAGACGTGCGCTTAGCACACTGTTTATGTGACAAGTTGAGCCCAATGGCATAATGAAGAGCTGCTATGTGATGCAACAGCTCTTTCCCACTCTGTGTACCAGATTGGTTTGATCAACCACATTTGGCAAGCAGGATTCCTTAATACAGAGATGCTACAACATTGGCATCAATGCCAATGCATGGTATGAATGTGTGTTTCCCTGTGCATGTGAAGAAAGAATCGATGCTGTGATCTGATCCCAGTGTAGCAAATCTTTGATAGATTTTGCTCTATATGTTCACATTTTCTTCCTATGGTCTTAAAGTACTATATACTGCTGCATAAAAATATTCTGTCAGTGTGGTTCTTCATTTGGGTTAATTTATCCTCCCGAGCTAAGAGAGACTGCTGTGTACTTTTGGTACTCAAATAGCACATTGAACTGTCTTGGTTATCTCTATTCAGCACTGATTTGAGCATTGTGGAAATAACTTAATTTCAGGATTCTGCCTTAAAATTTAGTTTATTGAGGTAGTTAGGATTCACATAAACATCAATAAGGAAGAAGAGGTATTCTGTCTGAAGGACGATGTCAGCACTGGAATAAACAAATAAGACACAGGCAGCAAAATGCAGGCTGGAAATGAGAAGTTAAGCGCAATTAACTGTGGAAGTCCTACCATAGGATACTGTGGGTGCTAAAATTTTATAAGGATTCAAAAGTGTTTGGACAAATCATTGGAAGAAAAATGCATTGGTAGCTATTAAGCATGACGACATTACTCTGTACTAATGGCCACTATTTTTTTTTTATTCTGAGGGAGTGAGAGTATTTCAGATTAAATAGCAAGCAAAGGTGGCTGTATGGCTAAGCTACTTGAAGGAGCTCTTTTCCATGTGGCTGGTTTCCAGCTTGCCTATGTGGTTTTGGTTTTGATTTGTCAGCCACTGGTGGGAGTGTTGAATGTTTTCGATTTTCTCAATTTGGGAGGACTAGGCACACTGCAGAATAACATGAACATGTTTGCACCCATGCCTGCACAACAGTTAATTGTTCAAGGTGTTCATTTTTCAGCCCAGAAACAAACGGTCACCTCCTCTCCCCATCCATGTGCTCAAGATTAACTTAAATTCGTGACACTCCTTTAGGTGATAGCATATGACAGCCAGATCAAAATGAAGCTGACAAACCCATTACACCTTGTTTAGAGCATCTGGTCAACTAACTTATTAATTTTGTACAAGGAACTTTGTGGTGGGAATCTGTGCTAGCTGCATATCTGAGGTCTGAAACAATCTGTAAGGCCATGCTTTAGGCTCTACCAGATGCAGTAATGTTGAGCTGCAGTGCAAGATGCCAGAATAAATATAGTAAGACTGAATTGATTATTGGGTTTTCATTGCTTTATTTTTCTTGCTGCTGTTCTGATCAAACTGCGGACACTGTTGGTCATTTTAAAAAGCACCTTAGATTTAAGCAATAGAAATGATGACTTTTTTTTGTAGCCAATTACTTATCTTTTCCCTAGTGAGAAGGTCTACAGTGTCCCAAGTTGCCCATTACTGGAGGATTGCTGCAAGGCAGGAACAGGTGGGCATGCCCAGAATGCCATTCCTACTGCAAACACTAACACATACACACAAAGGTTCACAAACAATTCAAATGTTTTCAGTTCAGCTGAAAATAGGGGAAAGCAAAATTTCCAGCTATTGATGGTCCAGTTTGCTCAGTCAGGTCTTAAAACTTTTAGCCTTCTAAAAGTTCAAATTTTTTTTTTAAGTGATGTACAAAAGCATGCAAAGTATTGCAGGAAAAAAGTAAGGAAATGTGAAATGCATTTAGAAGAAATTCATCCAAATCTAACATAGTGCTTGAAAGAAACAGATCCCATCTTTCTAAATATAAACTCAGTTCAATCAAATGTTAGCCCTTTGAACATGAAACCTCTTATGGATATGCAATCAGTACTTTGAGCCTCATATCATGAATTTTCTAACAGAACTAGCTGTCATTGCCAATTTTAATATGTTTCTCCTAGCCTAGAAAAGTAAATGCTGGTTTTGTGGA